ATTGTAAATGTTGTTAAATATATTGTAGTTGGTGAATTGGTTAACTTGTATGTCCTACTAGAAAGTTAGAGCTCTGCTGTCTAGTGGGGGTGTAAATTGTGTGTATAACTGTAAAATAGCGCACGGTACCATAACTACTGACATGTACCATAACCACTGACATTGTGTAAAAATTACTAACAATTGCTGTTTTATGTTATTTGTATAATACCATAACTGTTACTAACTGATCTGTGACTTTAAAACTGTATTATAACCACTTACTAACTGTACCATAACCACTGACTGTAAAGATGAGGTTACTAGAATGTGATATAGTTGGTTAGTCAAGAGTTGATTTATAGTACAGATAATTGTAGAGATGAAATTTGTTGAAATGTTATGTGATCGGTTAGTTTATATGGATTAATAGAGTGGATAGTTGTATGGTTTGAATAATAGTTACATTGATAAGTGTATAGTCTTTGGTGGGTTTTTGATTTAATTTCGTGTGTGCGACGTCGTGATATTGTTGAACATGTGAGGATCCTGTGTGTGTGTTTGGGCCTAGTGACTGCGCAATGTGTTGCTGGTGATAAGGAGATTGGTGTGACTGTTGAAACTGTGTGTATATTTGTACAGCTTTTTGAATCAGATGCTCTGTTGAAATAATCTTCTGATTCACAAGGCTCTGTCTTGTATGTTAAAAAAAATAAAAAAAAATAAAAAAAAAAAGTAGGGAGTAGCTTGTCCTGGTGGCCGCATGGCCTCCATGTAGCAGTCTTCACTTAAATTTAGTGCAGGGTGTACATGTGGCTGTAACTAGTAGGCTGGAATTCTATGATCAGTTTCTATATATTGACTGTTGAAAAATTGCCTTGGTGAATTAAACTGTGTCATATGGGAAACAATGTAGCCATATGGTGGTCAGAACTAAGGACTTAATTACAACTGCTTTGGATATCCCCTCCCCCCTGGCATCTGATTACCAACCCCCCAAATATCCTCCAGAGCCAGAGTAGCCACGCCCATTTCTTACTCCCAAAACTGGTATATAGTCAGTATTTGCACTCCCCCTGCTCTACTGTCCCCGCCTACCCACATACCTATCTGTTCCTGTGTTTCAAACTCTTGTATTTCTGTACTACCCTTCCCCCTAATCAATGATCAATGGTATCAGATGGTATATGGTCATTATTTTAGTTACTGGATGGGCCCCTCCCAGCTTTGTCCAAAATGTCCCCTTTTACTAAACTACAAACTGAAATGTTTAATTTACCTTAGAACTAAAGATTTAATCAAGCCTAGCTAGCAGGGTGGACATTGATTAAAATAAGTAATAATAAAATAGGACATAATTAATTAAAGTCTATTTGTTTCATTTGACTTTAGGGAGGCACTATAAGCCACCTACTGGCCATCTTCGGGAGTTACATTGATATTACATTGTTTATAACAGATATTAGTAGGATTGCTTACCCTATTTTAATATATTTATTGCTATAAGGTTTTATTTTATGTATAAATATATTAAAAGTTGAGTTTTCTTATTAGACCCATAAAGATTATTTTGATACAATTACCCTCTGGTGACACCTACTGGTAGGTTTTTGGTTTAACACTTTAAAAAAAAACGTTTTTTCATCCACCAAATGCTGACTAATAAAATTAGCTCACCCCCTTGCACCTATCTTACTACCCGTAGACTGGAACCTATTATTGGGCAGCCTTGCCGAAGTCCCATATTAGACACTGCTTGAGTCAAATAGGTTGTATACTCCCTTTAATCCAGAGGCTCCTGAAAACTTCCGAATGATAGACTCAGCATTTGTCAGCCAGGCCCAAGGTGATAGTAAAAGGAAATTACAGAAAATTAGAGGGATTTGTAGGGATGTCCATAATACAGCTAATGGAGATTGCAAATACAGTATATATGAATAGGGAGACGGAGGAAGAACGTGAAATGAGGAAAAAGGCAGATATGCTAGTGGTAGCTATCTTAAGTGTAGAAAGACAGGGAAGTGAATAGAGGAGACGAGAATAGGCTGAGCAAGGGACTTTAAGTAGGAATTAATGTGCGTATTGTAGAAAGGAGGGACATTGGAAGAGTGAGTGTCCACAGAGAGAGTAGTATGAAGGTGATAGACAAGGAGAGAGAAGGGTACGAGGAGGTTATAGTGGTAGTTATAGAAGAAGAGGAAGTTTTAGAGGGAATGATGGGAATAGTAGAGGAAGTGTTCAAGGAGACAGATACTATCCACCCACGCAGAGACCTAGAGAAAGAGAGGATAGAGATTTTGTGGGTCTGGCTGACACTATCATGGAAGACTATTGATACCGACTGGGCTCCATCCCACTTGGTCGAGCGGAGCCTATGGTCGATGTAGCAATAGGGGGAAAGAAGTTCTTTCATGATCGACACAGGTGCTGAACATTCTGTGGTGACTAAGATGGTGGCTCCGCCTTCGGGGAAGACTATAACTGTGATAGGAGCTACTGGGAGAAGTGCAGCTAGACCGGTTCTTAAGAGTCACACTTGTATTCTGGGAGGCCATGTGGTGAAGCATTAGTTCCTATATATGCCAGAGTGTCCGATTCAACTTTTAGGACGAGATCTATTATCGAAGCTTTAAGCTCAGATAACCTTTTACCTAATGGATTAACATCTCTGAAGTTTAAGGGGTTACCAGGCATAATGGCGATATCGGTGCCAAGGGAAGAAGAATGGCGCTTCTATTCCATAGTGACAAGTGTTAACCCTAAGAGTGATGAATCCTTATTTGACATTCCAGGAGTATGGGAAGAAAATAATCCTCCAGGACTTGCTCGTAATATCCCACCAATACATATTGAGTTAAAGCTTGGGGTGTATCCTGTTAGCCTTTGTATGTTGTTCTTTTATCTACCCCAACAGCTGTAAAGGTGGCGGAAGTGACTCCTTGGATTCATCATTCTAAGGTTAAACCAGCAGCAGACTCTTGGCAAACTACTACAGATCCTGAGAATCCTTGCAGGACCCGGTTGAAGCATGCAACTTAGTCGGAGTGACGAGGGAATATCGAGACATTCTAGTTAAAAGTCTACAAAGATCATCAAGTAGGTGTTTTGACGGCCATAATAAAGCCTGACCACCTGCCTACGTGTCATAGCCAGAGTATCTTGAAGGGATCTCTGTGAAGGAAAGTGAGGATCAGAAGAACAACATCCTTGCAGCCCTCACAATCAGGAAGCTGAGAGGCCATCGCACGGTCGAAGAAAAATGAGGATTTTAGGAATAATGTGTTTTATTGTGTCTTAGTATTTTTATGATTTTTCAGGAAGGTAGGAGTACAGACATACCGAATTGCGATAGTTGCATTAAGACTACTAAAACAGGTAACCAAATATCCCAAACTATCATCTGGCACTCACAGTATGAATGTAAGGGATCTGTATCTAAATGTAGATATTTGGATATTGATTATAGTGTGTGCAAGTCTAAATGTTTTGATCCCCATTTCCAACCCCGTACAATTTGGTTGGTAATTCGGAATAGTAACTCCCAGGGGACATTACTAAATAGGACTGTGATAAGCACCATACATTCCACGGGTATTCTACTATTTGATGCATGTAAGGCGATTTCGGGTAGTGGAAGACTTTGGAATGTATGTAGTACTCTTAAATGGGAACGAACTTATGGGTTTAATGATAAATACTTATGTCCCAGTATAAGATCTACTGATCCTGATTGCCCAAATAGAGACTAACTTCTGCCCCTATTTGTCATGTGTAGGTTGGGCAACCTGGGAAAAACAGTGGATCAAGATATGATTATCCAAAGGTTGCCTACCACACCATACTGTAAAACTATGTGTGTAACCCCGTTCACATGACCATTTCCAATCTGCAGTACTTTATTGACGGGTTTGGAGGTCTGTTTGGGTTTCAAATATATGGCACAGGAGTAGATTCAGGAACAATAATATATGTAGGTCTTGAAACTGAGACAGTGGCAACTCAAACTCATCAGGTTTCTCATTCCTTTTATGAGGAGATGAGTACTGAGGATAAAATTCCCCATAATGTTAACAACCTATTTATTGATTTGGCTGAGGGTATTGCAGGTAGTCTTAATGTAACTAATTGCTATGTGTGTGGAGGTACTAATATGGGAGACCAGTGGCCATGGGAGGCAAAAGAAATATGGTACCCTGGCTCTGAGACATATGAACAACAGATACCTTTCCAGTCTGATCATCAAGTAAGTACTAGAAGTAAATTGGAATGGTGGTTAAAAACCTCCATTATAGGTCATGTTTGGATAGCCAGGAAAGGGACAATGTATAACACGTCTGTAGGTGAGCTAACTTGCTTGGGACAAAAAGCCTATAATGTTAATACTAAAAATACTACTTGGTGGTCAGCTTCAAATGTCTCGGAACCTACTAATCCGTTTGCCAATTACACTCATTTAAGGGAGGTATGGTTTGACTTATCGGCTACATCTAGTTGGAAAGCCCCAGCAAATTTATACTGGATTTGTGGTAAGAAAACTTATTCGGAGTTACCACAAGATTGGGAAGGGGCATGTGTATTAGGTATGCCAAAGCCATCCTTCTTCTTGTTGCCAATCGAAACAGGAGAGACCTTGGGAGTTAAGGTTTACGATGTAAATCATAAAAGGGAGAGAGCATCCTTGAATACAGGTAGCTGGGAAGATAATGAGTGGCCCCCTCAACGTATTATTAATTATTATGGACCTACTACTTGGGCAGAAGATGGCACTTATGGATATAGAACTCCGATTATATATGCTCAACCGCATTATTAGACTACAGGCGGTAGTTGAGATTATTACTAATGAGACAGCTCAAGTGCTTAATCTTCTAGCTAAGCAAAATACCAAGATGTGATCAGCCATATACCAGAATAGGCTAGCCCTTGATTACTTACTAGCAGTAGAAGGAGGTGTATGCGGAAAGTTTAATCTAAGTAACTGTTGTCTGCACATAGATGATGAAGGGCAGGCAGTGGCTGAACTTACAAGCCACATGGTTAAATTTGAGCATGTACCTACTCAGGTCTGGAATGGGTATAACCTAAGTAGTTGGTTTGGAAGTTGGTATGAGCAGCTTGGAGGAATTAAGACATTAGTAGGAGGAGTAGAATTTATTATTTTTTTTTGTGCCTCCTCCTGCCCTGTCTAATTCCACTAGTGGTAAGGTCCCTACGTAGCATTATAGAGAGTACTATAGAGAGAAAGACAGCTGCCCATGTAATGGCTGTCTGGAAGATATGATCCCCTAGCCCGAAGAGAATATATTCAGGATGAAGAATGTTGAAGGAGTTTTTAAGATACTTACAAGGTCTACTCTGGTTCAATGGCTACTTGAGAGATGTAGGTAAAACTGTGATTGGTGATGCATCTGGAATAATGTTATATCAGAGGCATCAAAGGGGGGAATGTGATGGGATTCCAGCATGGTCAAAATTTAGTAGGCCAAAATCTCCATGTGGCATATGTGTATGTTGTGTCAGTTGGTTAGCTACACGTAGCTAGGATACTGTCATCAGTGTACTGAGCATGTGCAGGAATGCAGGAACTGAAATTGCACTTATTTCCTTTTGTCTTGGATGAGCCATGTGGTTTGACTAGATGTACAAGTCTATAGTCTGCTCATTGATTGGTTAAAGGTATATGTGGGTGTAGCTATTAATGGGAGGAGTTATAGTGCTATATAAGGAATGTACACTATGTGTTGGTCTCTCAGAATGTTGGAACAGGAGTTCATCTGAGACCCGATCGGTAATGTGAATAAAGGCCTGTTACTTCCTGAAGACCTGTGTCCAATATTTCTGTGTTTGGCTTCTGCATGCTTACACTGCAACAGTAATAGCTATATCCCAGATATACAGGGTTAGCAAATAGCTATATCCCAGATATACAGGGTTAGTAGAGAGCTGTATCCCAGATATACAGGGTTAGTAAATAGCTATATCCCAGATATACAGGGTTAGTAAATAGCTATATCCCGGATATACAGGGTTAGTAAATAGCCGTATCCCAGATATACAGGGTTAGTAAATAGCTGTATCCCAGATATACAGGGTTAGTAAATAGCCGTATCCCAGATATACAGGGTTAGTAAATAGCTATATCCCAGATATACAGGGTTAGTAAATAGCTATATCCCAGATATACAGGGTTAGTAAATAGCTATATCCCAGATATACAGGGTTAGTAATAGCTATATCCCAGATATACAGGGTTAGTAAATAGCTATATCCCAGACATACAGGGTTAGTAAATAGCTATATCCCAGACATACAGGGTTAGTAAATAGCTATATCCCAGACATACAGGGTTAGTAAATAGCTGTATCCCAGATATACAGGGTTAGTAAAGAGCTGTATCCCAGATATACAGGGTTAGTAAAGAGCTGTATCCCAGATATACAGGGTTAGTAAATAGCTGTATCCCAGATATACAGGGTTAGTAAATAGCTGTATGCCAGATATACAGGGTTAGTAAATAGCTGTATCCCAGATATACAGGGTTAGTAAATAGCTATATCCCAGATATACAGGGTTAGCAAATAGCTATATCCCAGATATACAGGGTTAGCAAATAGCTATATCCCAGATATACAGGGTTAGTAAATAGCTATATCCCAGATATACAGGGTTAGTAAAGAGCTATATCCCAGATATACAGGGTTAGTAAATAGCTGTATCCCAGACATGTATTGTATTAGTAAATAGCCATATCCCAGATACATACAGCCAGTAAAGCTGCATCCCAGATATACAGGTTAGCAATAGCTATATCCCAGATATACAGGGTTAGTAAAGCGCCTGTATCCCAGATATACAGGGTTAGTAAATAGCCATCCCAGACATACAGGGTTAGTAAATAGCTGCATCCCAGATACAGGTTAGTATATAGCTGTATCCCAGATACACAGGGTTAGTAAATAGCTGCATCCCAGATATACAGGGTTAGTAAATAGCTGTATCCCAGATATACACAGGGTTAGTAAATAGCCATATCCCAGATATACAGGTTAGTAAATAGCTATATCCCAGATATTATGGTTAGGTAAATAGCTGTATCCCAGATATACAGGGTTAGTAAAGAGCTATATCCCAGATATACAGGGTTAGTAAATAGCTGTATCCCAGATATACAGGGTTAGTAAATAGCTGTATCCCAGATATACAGGGTTAGTAATAGCTATATCCCAGATATACAGGGTTAGTAACTAGCTATATCCCAGATATACAGGGTTAGTAAATAGCTATATCCCAGATATACAAGGTTAGTAATAGCTTTATCCCAGATATACAGGGTTAGTACAGAGCTGTATCCCGATATACAGGGTTAGTAAATAGCTATATCCCAGATATACAGGGTTAGTAAATAGCTGTATCCCAGATATACAGGGTTAGTAAATAGCTGTATCCCAGATATACAAGGTTAGTAATAGCTGTATCCCAGATATACAGGGTTAGTAAATACTATATCCCAGATATACAGGGTTAGTAAATAGCCATATCCCAGATATACAGGGGTTAGTAAATAGCTGCATCCCAGATATACAGGGTTAGTAAATAGCTATATCCCAGATATACAGGGTTAGTAAATAGCCATATCCCAGATATACACAGGTTAGTAAATAGCCATATCCCAGATATACAGGGTTAGTAAACAGCTATATCCCAGATATACAGGGTTATAGTAAAGAGCTGTATCCCAGATATACAGGTTAGTAAATAGCTGTATCCCAGATATACAGGGTTAGTAAATAGCTGTATCCCAGATATACAGGGTTAGTAAATAGCTATATCCCAGATATACAGGGTTAGTAAATAGCTATATCCCAGATATACAGGGTTAGTATATAGCTGTATCCCAGATATACAGGGTTAGTAAACAGCACGTGACAGTCTCTCAGTCCTCTCGTAGTGAGATACTTTCTGTTACATTCAGTTGTCAAGTAAACATAGAAACATAGAATGTGACGGCAGATAAGAACCATTCTT